GTTTGATCTGTCTATTTTTCTTTGATGTAGCTCTGAAGGTCCCCAGATATTTGACTTTGTCGCTCCACTGGATATCTTCGTCGAAGATGGATGCTTCGAGAGGTCTTGCAATCCTTCTTCGTTGAATAAAGATTGCCTGCGTCTTCTGGACGTTGATGCGGATTTTCCATTCCACGTACCAGTCCTGGGTGTGGTCCAGTTCATCCTGTGGTCTCCTACGGATGATCTCGGGTCGTCTATGCTTGGCGGCTATAGCAGTGTCGTCTGCATATAGGGCCAGCATTGTGTCAGCTGTCTTCGGCACATCGTGAGTATAGATGTTGTAGAGCAGGGGGGCTAAGGCTGAACCCTGGGGCACGCCTGCTTCCAGCTGTCGTCTTGTTGAATGGCATGTACCAATCTTCACCGTGAACCATCTTTGTGTTAGATAGCTCTGGATCAGTTGGCACATGTTCGCATCGATTCCGGCGGCTTCCATTTTGGCGATGAGTCCATCGTGCCAAACTCGATCGAAGGCTCGTTCCACGTCCAGCAGGACGAGACCGGTTGCCTCCTGGAGATTGAAGCCGCTGGTGATGTTTTCCGTCAGTCGTAGCGCTGGGAGTTCCATGTTGTGGGAGGATCTGAAGCCGAATTGCTCTGGGGGGAGAAGTTGCAGTTCTTCTGCCTGCTTCTCAAGTCGAACGGCGATAGCCTTTTCAACTACTTTGCCCATCGAGGAAACCAGGCTGATGGGCCGGTAGTTCTGGGGCAACTTCCAGTCCTTGCCAGGCTTGGTGAGCATTATAACCTGGGCTTCCCGCCACCGCCGCGGGAAGTGGTTAAGTCTCAGAGTGGCATTGGCGATGTTGGTGAGCGCAGCAATGCCTTTGGTGGGAAGGTTCTTCAGCATCCTGTTGTTGATGCCGTCCCTTCCCGGCGCCTTTCTGACCTTCAACCTGCGGATGATCAGACGGATTTCCTCTGGACTGGAGGGGTGATCCGTCTCCTGGCCAGGTGGTCGACTCCTCATGATTTCGGCTGCGACTTCCACGGCTTCCTCGTGGTTGTCGTCCTCGTCTTCATGGTAATTGAGTCTGCATTCGGATTCTAGCGAATCGGTGAATGCTTCGGCTGTTTCTTCACTGGAGTAGGCCAAGCCGCGTTGTCCGTGAAGAGTGGGGATCGTGGTGCGCTGACGACGAAATTTTCGCTGCATAGTCCAGGCCGTACCATCCTGGGTCTCTAGTTCTGCACAGGCTGCATTCCATCTGATGTTTTGGAGTTCCGCGAGTGCGTTCTTCAGAGCTAGCGATGCTCTGTTTCGTGCAACTTTCGACTCCTCTGTCAACAGCTGGAGACGTTCCCGCTTGAGTCTTCTGTTCTCCCTGATCAGATGCCTAATATGGTGCGATGCTGGAACATTTAGGAGTCTAGGAACTGCCGTAGTCTCGGAGCGGGTGCTGTCCTCGTGCGCTCGCAGGACAGCATTCTCCAGCTCCTCTACTGCGTTGTCCAGTTCCTCCGCTGATCGGATGGTTGGAATTTGAGTGATGTTCCTTTGGACGTTGGATTTGTACAGGTTCCAGTTCGTCCGTTTGGTGCTCAAGCTATCTCGAGTTCTAGACCCTGTGCCAAGTGTTAGTAGAATCGGATTGTGGTCCGACGATCCTTCCACCAGGGTCTCTATCTCGAACTCCTCTCTGATGTTGCGGAGGATGGCTATGTCCAGTACCGCAGGTCGCCCAAGGCCGAATGGAATGTAGGTTGGTTGCTCCGGACCGACAATGACCCCCGCCAGGGCATCGACGTGTTCCTGGAGCTGCCTTGCATTCCTGTCTTCGACGTTGTTGTTCCATGCCGGAGACTTGCAGTTTAGATCTCCGATGACTATGCGTGCTCCTGGGCCTCTCAGGAGGTCAACGATGTCATCTTCGTCTAGGGCCTCCCCTGGTGGCACATATAGGGAGGTGATTCTGTAGGGACGGTGGTTGTGATGGACCTGGACCGTGATTCCGTCCCCATTGATGTCTGCGGCATCGTCGAGGACATGACTCGTCAAGGTACGTTTGACTCCTCCACCTCTGCCTCTTCAGTCGTAGCGGTACGTCTCGTACCGCGGGTACGTCAGACTATGGGCAGCATCCAATTTCGTTTCTTGGATGGCCATCACCTCTGGTTGGTACTGGTCTAGTATCTCCTGGATTTCTGGTTTTCGTGCCCTGAATCCGTTGATGTTCCAGGAGATAATGCGTAGAGATTCTACGTTTCGCCCTGAAGTCATTTCGGGTCTAATGCTTGTCTTGCATCTTGGCCTCGAGTGCATCCAGGCGGGTTATGATGGCTTGCATCATTGCTAGCAGTCTGTCATCGCCGTGTTGCTTCTGCGCAGTAGTTCCAGTAGCAGTGGCGGTTGCTGGGGCAGAAGTGGACATAGGTTTCTTCGCTTTTTGAGCGTAAGAGGTAATATTTGTGGTGGGGACTGCTTACTGCTTTGTGGGCAGAAGCAGCTTTCCTCGGGGCCTTACTACATCCCTTGTAGTTGGCGGGGTGGCCTCCTCCACAAAGGCAACACTTGGCATTTCGTTGCCCTGTTGGCGGCGCTGACAGACTGCAACTGGTGCTGCTGTGGTCCTCTCCACACTTCACGCACCGTTCAGCGAGACGGCATTTCCGCTGTGTGTGCCCGTACCGCTGGCAGCGGTAACATTGGCTGGGCTCGGTGGACTTTTTCTTTCTCTTGAAGCTGACCGTGAGCATGGCCAGCCTCTGGATCTCGGAAGTGGCTTCTTGGTGGTCCTTGAGGTCATCTGCTGAACCTCAGCGTCTGCGATGCCTTGGCTCACTAGACCCTCTTTGACGTCATCGATTGACATCTCCCTGGATAGTCCACGAATGACCCTCTGGTCCATCCTGTCCTCCATTAGTTGATAGGTGAAGAAGGGCCGCTTGATGGAGTCCAGAAGTGCGACTAGCTGGCGGTAGTCAGCTGGTGTATTTGTGAACACCTTCACACTGTTACCCGCCGTCCTCGCCTTGGAGAATTGGATCCCGTTGTTGTTCATCATCCTGCTTAAGGACGACCAGTCAGCGGTGCCCTCGATATTGATTGGCGGAACTCCTGTTCCTGCCATGGGGGCCTCGGTGGTCCTGGATGCTCTAAGACCTCTCTTCTTGGTGGCAGCTGGCATCTTTGGCTGCCTGGATGGTTCTTCTTCTTCGGAGGAGGAGGAAACTCTCTCTCGTTTTCTCCTCCTGGTGACGACACTGAAGTCTGCGTCATCGGTCCTCTTCTCGGCTTCTTCTTCGATTTCTTGGGCATCCATGTCCCTGTTTTCCATAGGCTGCTGGTCCTCGTCTCCCTGGTCCTCACCTTCTTCTTCTTCTACCGTCTTCTTCGCCTTCCTCTTCGCTTTGAGGAGCTTCCCCCTCACTTCCTCTATCTCTTGCCTCGCCTGCTTGAATGCTTCTTGCAGATTTTTTATCTGCTCAGCAAGCATTGCGAAGTTATCCTCCTTCTGCTGCAGCTGGCTCGTCAGTTTTTCTATTCTCGCCATCGTGGATGGCGATCGTATCGTGATGAAAATCACAATAAGATCGCACTGTAAGTCCGGGTGGGTCGCAGTCGCACAAGTGTATACTCGCGACGGCTGCTAGCTCGGAACTGGGCGTGAGCTCGGAACTGGGCGTGGTACACCCCTAGCACATTCAAAAGAAATATATAGTCAATCACATTTGCTGTATACAATTAATGCTACCTAAATCAGGTAATCAGAGCACTAAATTTGGGGCCAATAGAATGCTAGGATGTTATTGGCTACTTTAAGGAGTCTGGGCAGCCATTCTCAAATATAGTCACTTAGGCTGTCTGATAATGTCTCTGACATAAAGATGAGTCATTCTTTTTGTGGAATTTTGTACCAATTTGTTCCATTCAATTGTGCAATCTGCAAAAAACCAAAGCTTGCTAGGGGACGAAATATTGAGGTTGCTATCACAATCCACCGTAGATTAACAGCCATGGAGAAAAAAAACTTTCAATAAATCAACTTTTTGTCATTGTGTAATAGCTTCATCAGGATTTTCTCAAAAAAAATAAACATTTCTGGAAGATGGAAATACGATTTAGTAGTATCAAACACAAAGATTCAATCACATCAAGATTGATATAGGGGGACCTCGGCTGGCCGCGTAGGTCAGAGTGTCGTGCTACTGATCAGCCGACCAGCCGGGCCGCGAGTTCGAATCTCGCCTTCGCCATGGATGTTGTGACGTCGTGTGTTTGTCCATCATTAGATATATATACAATACCAACCTAGTTTCTGGCTGCATGGTTTGGTCCTAAAGCTCAAAAAAAAGATTGATATATCACGATGAATAACTTCTAAAATCCTAATAAGGCAATGAATTCTCTATACAGTTAAAACTGATTCATACCAATATAAGGAAATCAATGATTCACTGCCACTGTCTTCCAAGGAAAAATTTGAAAATTCTGAAGAAGAATGGCTAGATTGAAAAGTAATTACAATGTACTGGTTCTACATTTAAATTGCTAATATCTTGTATGAAATATAGTAAATAAGTGTGTACAAAAACTTTTTAAAATTAATATTTGAAATTGGTTTCTTTTATTAGGTGTCAGAATTTAGGAGAATTAGCAATGAGTTATTCTTGGGATGGTCAAGCTGCAGTCCAAAAAACTACTCCTAGCCAGATGTGCATTAGGTACATTCTCACAATTTTTATTGTACAGCTTCTTCAACTATATTGTACGTAGGGTTTCCAGGTAACCTGTATTGTATTGGGAGTTCTGAATTTGAGGCATCAATTTAGTAGCTTCACTTTCATAAAAAAAATATTGAAATTACAAATTGCTCTTAACGTTTTTAATTCGGTTCGGCTGCTTACTAGATGAAAAAACTAGTTTTCCTTCATGTTGCAACTTCTGATGTGACAGCTGAAATTTTCATCTTGATCGACCATATCAAAGCAGAGCTTCACATTAAAACTAAGGGTGCAAAAAAATGTATGGAAAATAAACAGTGGTCGGAAACTGTTAAGTCTGATAAAAAAATCTCTGATCTTCTGTTGTATGCATTGTCAAAAAATAACTCCTTTTGTATATGAATTGTGCATTAGTCTAATGAAAAATGTCCTTCATATTCTGCTCCTCCCCTTGGAAATCGACATTCTTCAATTTTCAAATTTAAACCTGGCAACCCTAAATGTGTGTGAATTGTTTACCAATAACTCTATCTTTTTAGACGCCGACTGTATTCCTTCATGTTGGAGTATGGAAGCATTAGCATCATTAAGAGATTGGTTAATCAGAGCCAAGGAGAGGTCAAACAAATCAGGAGCTCCATTTGTAGTTATAAAGAGTTACATACATTTTAGATTGTAAAAATATATGTATATACTCATGTTTATAAGTATTTACACCTGGCGTTTTTATTCCAATATGTATAAATAGACAGCTCTTGAAGCTAACTTAAAAAATGTTTAGTCATTACATTTAAAGAATCTCATTCATTTTTAAATCTAAAATGCATTATTAAATAAACTACTGTTTTGATGCCTTCAGGAACGTCTACCGGCAAATGAAGGAAAGAAAATACCAATACAGGTGTGTTGAGAGCCGGCTTTAGAGATACTAACTGCGTCGATCTTCGAATTTCGGTCTTAAAATTGTTTATTTGGTGGAAAAGGCAACCTATGGATTGGGTCCCCCGTGGCAAACTACTAGTTGCAGAGTTCTTGTGATTTCTTTAAACATACTTTTCGATTGATAGACTTTAAAATCACTGTCAATATTCAAGAGGGCGCGAGAATTTATCAACTATCACAGAGGTCGCGTATTCATGAAGGTCGACAAGTTGTATAATTATTGTGTAAAAACGTAGTCAATTACGTATGAAGCGGATCTGTTGGCTGATTTCTAGTAGGTCCGCATTTCAGGCGGCTCATTGCAGTTCCGCTTCGCCGGTAGCAATCGAAACTTTTCTAAATCAAATAATGTAATATGTATACTTTTTACTTTTAACTTATTCTTTATATTTGGACACCTGGAGTAACAATCTTTGGATCGGTCGTGATGGGCCTATATCTTGGCCTTCTAGGTCACCAGATATGACACCGATCCACTTCTTTCTATGGGGCTACATTAAGCGAGATGTTTATAGATATCCAGGATCTACCCCGGAAAATATGGAGGAAAGGATTAAGGATGCTTTTCTGAACATAAGGGAACACATGCTGAGGAATGTGCAACGATGATTTATCCAAAGACTACGGCTGTGGAGATATTTTCGAGCAGTTTCTGTAGATTAGGTCTTGAGTAGTGATAGTTTTTTGTTTATCTTGTTTGAAGCTGATTGCTACTGTTTTGATTGTTATTCATTTTTCCGTCAAATCTGTACTCTTAGTGGCAATATGGAACTAGCCCACTCTTTGTTTCAAAGGATGATATGATTTTTTTCCTTAATTTTGTTGTGTTGGTCTATTACAAGCTTAATAACTCAAAATCTAGTGATTTTTTCTGCATCAAATCTGATGGAAAAAAACTTATAAAAAAGAGTAGATGTCTTATGGGGATTCGGTCTCAAAACTTCCAAAATCCGCCACCAGAGGCGCTGGCGTCGCGCGCCATTGACAGGTTGTTGGACGGAATCTGTAATCATGAGTTGGGGATTCCGCCGCTAGATGGCGCTGTCAAACCAAACGGAATCTGTGTGTCATTGGACACCTGTCATGCGTCATTGGGCATCTCACGCATAGATGGCGTTACACGTCATCTGTTATACGTCATTGGACACCTGTCATTGATGGGTTGGGCATCTCGCGCATAGATGGCGCCGATTTGTTTGGCGCTGTACAAACCAAACGGAATCTATGTGTCATTGGACAGCTGCCATTGATGGGTTGGGCATCTCGCGCATAGATGGCGCCGATGTCGCACCTGTCTGGTGTTGGCGTGGATTACGGGGGGCAACGTGTATACAGGGGTGCATCGAAAAATAGCGGATCGATGGACCGACGGTATATCGTTAAATCGTATATAGCAAGGCGTGACCTAAATAGCGTGGTGGGCTCCTCTGGTCGGTCCGTCGGTCAGAATGTCTCATAACCTGTATACGATGTACTGTTATTATTATACAGGATGATACCGTTCAAAATGAAAATAGTATAGACATTCTGACAATTATTTCGCAAGCCAGAGGTATTTTCAATAAAACTACAATAATACCTTTAATATTTTATTGAAAATAGAAAAAACTACATAGGTAATATGATATTTGAAAACCAGTGGCGTAGACGTTCAACATTTCTCTGGGTACAGGAAAATTGTCCGTTGGTGTGGCATGGATTGGAATCAGCAACAAAGTTTCCAGTAGCACACGGTGTACCATCATACTTGCAAACATCAATAATGTTGGGAAAAACACCAAAAATGTGACATTTCTTGAGTAAAAAGTTTGCTTTCTGTTCTCCACGAACGTAGACATAGTCAGCCGCATATATCACCTTATTTTTAATTATTTCATTTAACTTGGAATATTTAACGTCGCCGGAAGAATATTTAAGCCCATGGAAATTCTTCTCCAAGTAAGCGACAGTTTTCTTGTCTTTAGTATTTAATGTAGAAAAAGGTTGCGGAGGTGTAAAGATGTAATGACTTTTCTTGAAACCAATTTCGATACATAGTTCTTTAGGTACGAATAATCCGTCAACTGTAAAGCCTTGAATGTCAACAAACGCGATCCTCATGATGTCTGATGCGGAACTGAGAGTCCTTCGTTGCTTACGAGATGGTTTTAATAACTTCGGTGAGGGGGAAGTACTCGATTAAGCAGTCATGTATAATGATGCAGTAGGCCTTGGTGTTGGTTGGAAAGCCAGTATCGGCTTCGATATCCAATCTAACATCAACAGTTGATGATTTCATGGTTTCCTCTTGTTTGGAACAGTCAATAACAAACAAAGCGCGATTTTTAAAAGCGGTATAATCTAAAAGACATCTCTTCAGAGGAGAAGAAGAAGTTGTATAGCTGGTTTGAAAGTCGCTATAGTTGAAATGAGCTTCAGTAAAGTGATTGTTTGCAAAGTCCAATTGCATACGTTCGTTGGGATAGTATTCACCATTTAAAGATACTCGAATACTAGCAGCATTCACGTGATCAAACAGGGTAGGGTCTGAGGTTGCGACGTCACGTTTACCGGTTTGGAAACATACTATAATGAAACGTGGTCTTTCGATTGCGGTGCTAGTTTTAACTGACCATATTTCTCTTCTCGCATCTGCGGTAATTGCAGGCAGTTCGTTCAGATCCCATTTTCTAAACGGTATAAGTATCGGCTTATCAGTTTGAATAGCTTTCAAAAGTTGTTCTTTCACATCATCACTCGGGTAAATATGTTTGATTTTCAGTTCCATGCTTTCAATAGTTATTTTCGCTGTCGTCGTCGTTCCAGTTTTTTCCTTGATAATGATACAATCGTTATCGTTTCTAGCTCTCACAAATCTGAGAGTTTGTCTGCCACACGTAATCATAGGATAATCATTGAAAATGTTGAAAATATGTTTAAGCGGCATTAGCAAGCTAAAAGACTTGTTATGTGTTGACGCCATTATAGGTGTTGAAGGATAGTTCCATCCAGCTATAGCCATATGATTTGAGTCTTCCTCACTGTAACATACGTAAGCTCGGACAGTACTTACAATACCAGTATCACGTACTGTTTCAACTTCTCTAGCGGATTCACTGTAAGTGCAAGAGTCAAATAGGAAGGCACCAAAGTTTGGAGCTAAAGATACATCTCCTGCTCCTCCTCCTCCAGTTATTTCAACTTTCCCTTTGATAGATAGAAGGGAAGCGTTCATTGCAAAGGACGAATCTACTTGATTGATGCTAAATTCCACAACATCATTACAATTAAATGACTTGATGAACGGCGTATAAGATCTATACTCAGCCTTGCGAATAGATTCATCGAATGCTGGAGATCGATATAGATCAAACATCGGAGAAGTATGTGATGCTGCTGCTGCTGCCTCCTCAGTTTTTCTCTTTTTGTACATGATTCTTGTTGTTGTTGACATGATATCCAAGTGAGCGTAGAAACAGGATATTTGATGTAGTTAGTAGTAGATGTCGTCGCTTAGGTGCTTGGGGTAATACTGAAGTTGCCTTGGAAGCACCACTATGTCTTATAATCACTAATCCCATCTGCGCTTCGCTCTCAACTCCAACACAAGAGTACTAGTTTCACCTTGAAAGTTTACAGGACGACCGTCTTGATCTAAAGCCAACACTGTGATGTTGGTTATTTCTTGTTTCGGTATAACAGGTAGATATAGTAAATTTACAGGTGTTTCGACTATAGCGTATCCAGGATCGGCTGTCACAGCAAATTCGTAGATCGTGTGTGCAGGCGTGTCTCCGTCAAAGGCTCCCGACGTAATGTTAGCATCAAAGTGTATGGTTGATACTTTTATTATGTTTACAGGTAAATCAGAAGAATGCTTTTGACCAGGATTAAGAACTTTTTTCGAGAATCCCAATAGATGTCCAAGATTATTCGGTTCTGTAAAAACTATTTTATAATACTTGCTAAAGATTTCACATTGCAGTGTATTATTGTTAGGTTTTAGAGAAAAATAATCATCCGGAGGAGCAACTTCATTTTCAAGATTCATTTGCGTTCGTATAAATGTTTCTATGTCGGTAATTTCATAACAACCTGTCGGAAACTCGATGACTTTTAATTGACCACCACCACCACCACCACCTATCCGGTCGATATAATAAAATTTATCTCCTTTTTCAATATTCGGTATGGAATTGTATGAAGTAAAAGACCTAAGCGCCAATTCATAATCTTTTTTCGGATCCAACACTATCGGTGTTGAAGGACGAAATGAAAATATATGAGTAGTGCTATTGACTCTCAACAACTGCGACATGATGAATGAAAAAATATAGCTGTGTACTAAGCATTTATTCAAGTTTTTTTTTTGTTTATTTTCGAATGGATAATTTACAGAAATAACAATTTGCTTGAGCAGTAGCCTGTCCATCCCAATGTGTTGCCCAATCAGGTCTGTTGTAGTGAACATAGCATGGAAGTCGTATTTGAAGATCAAAATTGGATGTGTATTCTGCAGGCAGTTTGTGCCATATACTCAACAATTCTGCAGGTCTCACATTGCTTATTAAATATTCCAGCGGCGGAATATTCTTCTCAAACTCTTCTAATGTAAATTCCGATAATGTTTTATTATCCATCGTTGTTGTTGTTATTGTTTAGAAATTTCAAACACAATTGTCCGCAATTAACTTGATTATAAGTTTGGTAAGGATCGTTGTTGTAGAAAACTTTAGCGTTTTTCAGATATCGAACAAGTTCCTGTGGAGGCTTCAGGTTACCAAATGAATCGAAATACTCAACGTTGTTGTTTATCTTTTTATAAGCTACCCAATGAGTTCCGTTGTTTTGTGAAATATCTAAGTT